GAAGATGACATTTGCTTTAGAGCGGCTTTAATGGGAAAGAAAAGGGTGAAAGAACAAAGATTCCCAAATCACAGGCTGGGCCTGGGGACAACTGAGATGTCATTCAGTGCTTGTTGGACACTGATACCAACTGAGTGCCTTAGCACTGCTGATGGGGGCACAAGAGAGGGTCAGTGGGGAGCAGGGGTGGGTGGGAGATGTCCCCTGGTCCCCCTGCACTCCAGGAATAGCACAGGGTAAGCAGACAGAAAATTGGGACCTGCATTGCATGGTAAATCAAAATCTTGGAGACAAAGGCCATAAGATTCTGTCCAGAAGGAAGAGAAGCAGCAGCCACAAGCTCAGAGAGACCACAACTGCTTTCTGCAATGCATAAATGTCATCTGGTGCTTAAAATACTCGATCAGCCTTGTCCAGCCAGCCTGGCTCTGGCAATAAACACACTGTTCTGCTTTTTAATGTGTTTCCCTCAAACGATGCTCTAGCAACCAACTGTGTTCAAAAAAGCCCAGCAGTTGCAGTTCAAGATTTATTTTAACTTTGCAGAAAAACAAAACCTCAGAATCAAAACAAAAAGAGCCAGAAGGGACTGTGGGAAACTTTTTCCTAGATAAACGTGAAGTTAGATTATTTTGCTCTTTCCAGCCTGCCAGGGCTGCCGGGGTGCCACCAGGAGAGGATGGAGGATGTGTGGTCTGATGACTAACAGGGCCAGAGGAGCCTGAGCCCAGACATTACCAACAAGCAGAAGCACCTCAGGCAAATCGCTAATTGCCTGTGACTTATTCCCATTTACCCGGGGGGCAGCAGCTCACTCCCGGGAATGCGGTGAGCATTTAATCAATTAGGGCTTGATTGCTGCTTTGAAATCCTGGCTTCCAAAACACGCGGGGTAATTGCAGAAAGTCCTTTATTACTCCCAGCAGCGGGGACCACGCCGTGTTTGCTCAGATGGATCAGACCCTCCCAAGCCTGGCTGGTCCCCCTGCCCCTCGGGGTAACCTGCTGAGGTGGTGGGTCATGGCTAGGACAGATGGCTGTGCTGCCCGTCAGTGTCTGGAGCTGGCTGTGAACCCCCCCAGATGGAGCTGCGAGAGGTGGATCACAGGCAAACTGAGCACTGGCAGTCATTACCCTGATGGGACAGGACAGCCCATGGATTTGTGACTGCATCCCTGAGGAGTGGCACTGGGAGGAAGCTGGGGACATGGCTGTGCTCCTGGGAGGAAGGAAGGGGCTTGCCTTGGAAATGGAGAGATGGAGATGAAATGGAGATGGAGATGGAGATGAGATGGACCACTGTGTCCAGAGGACACAGCCAGGTTCAGAGCTCGTGCAGGTGACTCAGACACATAATTCCTGTGGCTGAAGTTCTCACTGTGCTTTGCATGGAAGCGAGGAGCCGGTGACAGAAGGTGACAGAAATCTCCAGGCCTGACAGCATCCACACTTCACCACCCACGGCTGGGGTCAGTGTAAATCCACCTTCCCTAGGAAGCTGTTGAGCCAGGAAAGTGGCTCTCCCCTGAGTGCAGGGACAAAGCCTGGCTCCTTGCAGACAAGGTGAGGAGATGTGGTAGAGCTCTGGTGAAGCTAACACCCTGATGCTGCTGGAGGTTTTATGGCAGTGACACCTCTCAGGCTGACAGAGGTGCCAAAACTGTGTGTGCCTTTGAAACGCTATAAATTCCATTCTCCACCTTTGCTGGGCAAGATGTGTGATCACAACAACTTCCTCTGCTGGAGTGCTGTGTTTGTGCCAACCCTTGCTCCTGCTGACATTTGTCAAAAACCTTGTGAGACAACCCTGGGGCTTAGCCATAGCAGGGAAAGTTCTTGGTGGCTCCATGGCCTCAGCCCTCAGCCTGTGCCAGTGCAAGGGCAGGGAGAAGATGTTCCAGGTCTTGTGGAGAGCTGCTGCAGCTCTCTGAGAAGCATAGAGCAGGGAAAAGCCACTGGTTCATGTTTCCTAATGAATGGCATTGCCACACGACTGAAAAAAGGGGAAGTGGAACTATGCAGAGGCTGTCTCAATACCTTCTCCCTACCTTTCCTCTTCCTCCACTTGCTCTAGCTCATCCTAGGTTCCATCTGTTGGAATTCACTTATTTCTCCCTCTTTCCAAGCTGTTTGTCATGATGGGTGTTTTAGGATGGGTTTCACTCTCTGTTAGCTTTAGCAATGATTCCCCAAGGTTCAGAAGTACTTCCTTCAGCATCACTCTTTATTCCAGCAGCCAAACCAGGACCCTTTTACAGCCAGGATCAGCACCAGGACCTGTCAGAGGGAATCCCTGCTGTGACCATTTTGTGCCATTCCCTCTCCTTCAAGAGACCCGTGTCTTGCCAGAGCCCAGCATCCTGCCCTTGGGGTGCCTCGGTGATACCTCTGCTGCACTGTCCAGGGGGGAGACACAGCTCCTGTGTAAGGGTGGAGGTATCTGGATTGCTTGGGGGTTGGAACAATTCCATAGGTGCTCTCCCACACCTCTCCCTTCTGAGGTCTGCCCAGGCCACCCTGGAGAGTGTCCCACAGCTTTGTGTCTGTGCTTGTGCACTCTGGGATGTTCTCCAGGCTACAGTGAGACTGAGCTGAAACACTGAAACACCTTTAAAAGCCTTTGAGGGGTGTCACCCTACAGCAGAATCACAGTCTGTGGGGTGAGGGAGCCCAACTCCTGGCTTGCTATCCTCCTGTGTACAGAGCAGGCAACGGAGATTCAAAAAAGTGGTGATGACAAACCCCAAGGCAGTGAAGGATGTTGTTTTCCATTGGGAAAGGTGCTGCCAGACTGCTAACAAGGGAAGAGGACATTTGCCACCCACAGCACACCACCCACGGGGCTGCCATCCCATGCTGTGGGTGTCCTCTCCCAGCTGGCACTGAAAGCCATGTCCTGCCCTCTTGGATAACACTCCTGGGATGGGCCAAGCTCCACTGTGATCCCACCTGGAGATACCGAGGGGAGGAGCCCACTGCCTCGCTGGGAAGAGATTGTGTTCCCACAGTGCCCAAGCCAGCAGCATGCAGCCACTCCTCAGGGAACATTAATAATTTAGGAATAAACTGGAGACTCTATTGTGTTCTGAGCAGGCTGTTGTGTTCACTTCCATGACAATGTCTGAGCCCCTTCCGGCAATGCACTCGCCTGTCTGATGGATGTTTGGCACATGCTCTGTCCCCAAAAAGAGGAGGGACAGCCTGCACAATTGCTTGGGCAGCAGGAGACACTTGTTTGTGTGCTGGGCACCTGTCTCAGATAATGAGATAGTCATAAAACAGACCTTCAGAGCAAGGTCTAAACCCAAAGTAACCCTGAACAGCAGGGACTCATGATCCACTGAAAGCTTAGAAACACAAGCCCTTGAAGAAAGAAGGATTGTCAATTAATTTGGAATCTCTCTGCAATCTGAGATTTGTTGAATCCACTGGGATCAATTTCTCTTCTTCAGTTTTCCTCAGTGATTCCTGGAACTGGTCTGGGATAGCTTTTTCTGGACAGGCCTGTGTGCCAGCACCCCTGTCCCACAGTGCACATGTGACTCAATTCTTCAGTTTTGGTTGAGGTGCCCAGGAGTAGACACTGTGCTCGAAGTTCACAGCTGTCACTAACACCAAATAGATTTTCTGTGAAAACTAAGAGTGTGGTGAAAATGTTGATGGTCATCTCATGTTGCAGGCAAAGGGGTAATAACACTCAGCACAGCTCAGGAGCAAGACCCAAGCTGTGAACACATGAACACACAGGGGCTGAGAGGGAGATATCCTTACCTCCTGTCAGCTGAACTGAGGGGCTGCAACTCCTACGGGAAGTGTTTAACAAGGAAGGAAAGAGTGATTGAAATCCAATTCAGTCTGCGTTCAGCACCTTTCATGAAACCAGCACATTGAGAGATCTCTTCTGAGAAGGCTTGGGATGGGATGACCCGAAGCTGGCTGGTTTACAGGAATACACAGCACATGGCACAGTCTCTCCATGAGCTGGATGAGGGGAACAGCTTAGTCACTGTGAGGGGAACCATTCACGGGGAGATGAAACCTTCACCTCCTGTTGCAACAGAGGAGTTGTTGTTTCTGACTTGCCCACCACTTATGTCACCACTTGTGCGTGGCAGGCAGCTCTCCCCCACTTCCCACCAAACTCTCAGTGCCACTGAGTCACAGCATTGATGTCCCTGCGGGGAGGTGCCCAAAAAATGAATATCTCATGGGGAACATTGCAAATACCTTGGCTGAGCAGCTGCTGCAGTGCAGGGGAGAACACGTTCATGGGGGATGATATCTGGGGAGTGCTGCAGCCTCTTACTGAAACTGCAGCTCCTCATAAGAAGCAGAAAAGTTCTCCAAAGGCTTGACTCAGTGGCCGTGAGGCAAATGCCTTTCATCAGAGGGCAGCTGAAAATTCTCCCAAGATCAAAGAAGACTCATGTGTGTTTTTATTCAGGGGCTAGGGGTCTAGGGTTAGGTTTACAGAGGGGTTAAGGTGTTCCTTCTGTGCAGGAGCTAAGGGTGGGGCCATCCTGGCAAAGTCTTGCTGGCAGCAGCACCCTCATATCCAAGCTTTTGAGAATTAAGGCCTGAGAGTGAAGGGATTTAAACCATCATTTGCCACCCCGTGTGACTGGGCCGTGGCACACGGCGGGTCGGAAGAGATGATCTCACTCCCTCCTGCTGGAGCTGTTCTGCTTGACATAGATAAATTAAGTATTGATGCAAGTATTGATTACTGTTGTGCTACGTATTGGAAAACTTAACCTCATCCTTTCGTGGACGTTTTTCCATCTCACTATAATTAGGTGCCCAGGAGGATACTCTTCCCATTGAGGGGGTGAGGGTGGGTTTTCACTGTGTCCTGTGGGTCCAGCCCAGTGCTGGTGGGCACACAGGAGGAGAAGGCCGCATTGCCTCTGAGCATGGGACAGCACTGCCAGGACAAGCTGTGGCTGGCAGTGACAGCAGTGTCACCAGCAACTCCTGAGGGCTGCAGCTGCTGACTTGTGTTTAGGGGCTCTGTTTGAAGAAATGAGTGGGTGACTGGAACTGGGAGGGCCTCAAGGAGGATGTTTCTAAGGAAAAGATGTGGTCTGCAGGCACCTTTTGAAAACACCTTAATGCTTTTACATTTCGGAAGCTGTTCATGGGCAGGATGCAAAGAAAGTACAGCCAAAGAGTCCTACAAATACTGAAATTCCAGAACCAGAGAAGAACAAAACTGTACTTCCCACTCTGTGGTTTGACCTATGTCATTTTCAGATTTTGCACCAAAACACAAGGGTAATACAGGTCTTACAACAGAGAGACATTTTCAGTAGAAAATGAGTAGTTTCAGTTAAAGTAACATACAAATACAATGGTTTCATGTCTATGAGGCAAAGTTAAAAGCAGAAGTATTTTCAGTAGAAATAGCTGATGGATCTCATGAGCAGAAGTAGATTTTCCAATGAGAATGCTGTCAAGGTACACCTGTGTTGGAGGTAAATCTGCCTGGGCCACTCCCAAAGCATAACAACGTGCCCTGTGCTTCTGACCTGGGGCCGTTGATAATCTCTGGGCTTTTTGAGATAAGTCATGGGGCTGTGTCCCAGTGCTATTCACTGGCACAGGGTGCATTGCTTCAGAAATAGGAAGGGAAGAATACGTCAGACAAGAACTGTCACATGTTATTCACAAACAGAGAAAACAAAACTTAAATAGGACAGGTTTTTGTAACATCATGTAAGCCAAAGCTCATCTGTCTGTCAATAAAGTCATCCCAAGGGAGCCAGACCAAACATTTTACGGTTTATCAGCCTCTCTGTAGGGTGAATATTTGCACATGGTAGAGCTTTTTTATTCCCTTTTTTTTTTTAACCTTTCCCGAAATCAACCGAGAAGTGCATGATTTCTCACTGAAAACGTCACTGGTTTCTGCAACTGTGCCAGAATCAATGGACTCCAGCAAGGCCTTTGATGTGGAGATGTATTAGTGAAGCAAACTCACCGCAGTCTGGTTTTAATGCTTTCGGTGTGTGCGCTCTCACAGGGGAAGAGTGGAGAGAGGGAGATGAAACAAGAACACAAAATGCATTTTACATGACACCTTATCCCACCCAGAAGCAGAGAAGCACTTAAAGCTCACAGTTCCTCTGTGGACGGTGCTCCTGTCAACAACTTAAAGCAACATTGCCTGAAGTGGCATTTATCTTTGGGGCTCTCTATCAGATTCCTTCCTGATTTTGCTACAAGCGCCTTCCTCGCTGTTTATGCCATACATGGTTAAAGAGAATCTTTGCTGCTTCTCCACAGGTTATAGCGAGGTCAGGACTGAGCACTGAACATCCTTTTGTTTCCTAAATATTGGACACTTAATCCCAAAGGCTCTGTCCCAGAGGTGGAAATGCACCTACAAGGATACTTTCTCTCCAGTCTGCCTGTCAGGTTACCCCTGAGCACAAAGCTCAGCAGCCACATGGGATGTGAGGCAGTTTCCTCCTCCTTGAGGTTTAGGTTCAAAGCTTGCTGAGAAGGGATTTATCCTTGTGCTGACTTAGCTCAGGGAGTACTGAGACACACTAAAAAAAACAGATCCTGGGGTGGTGGTTCCAGCTGTGACCAGAGGCCACACAAGGTGCTACTGTCAACTCACAGCCCATGCAGCTCAAATTCCCTGAGCTGTACAGGTTTGTCTTATTTCCTGGAAATTTTGAGAACAATCCCTTAGTCCTTACACATGATTGATATGCAGTGCATTAAAATCAGAAGGCAAATCTCTGCTGCCTTAAGCTCATCACTTGGTGAGTGTTGGCTTACCTGAGGTGGCAGAGGGAGGTGTTCAGCAATTTATTTGCTCCTACTCATCTGACAAAAATTAGGGCCTTGGTGAGCACCATCAACCATTTCATTACAGGTATTTCCTCTAGGTTGCTCCAAGCCCCATCCAACCTGGCCTCAAACAATTCCATGGATGGGGTATCCACAAATTTTCCAGGAAACCTGTTCCAGTGCCTCACCATCCTCACAGTAAAAATTTCTTCCCAATATCTCATCTAACACTACTCTCTTTTAGCTTAAAGTGATTGTTCCTCAGTCCTATCACTGCAAGCCCTTTTAAACAGTCCCTCTCCAATTCTCTTGTAGCCCCTTTAGGCACTGCAAGGCTGCAATTAGGGCATCCCAAAGTCTTCTCTTTTCCTGGCTTAACAACCCCAACTCTCTCAGTCTTCCTCACAGGAAAGCTCCTCCATCCCTCTGATCATCTTCATGTTCCTCTGCTGGGCTTGCTCCAACAGGTCACTGTCCTTGTGCTCAGGACCCAGAGCTGAGTGCAGGTGGGGTCTCCTGAGAGCAGAAGTGCAGAAATTACAGTTATGATCCTCCAGTTGAGGAGACAGAGGAATAACCCGTGTTGAAAATGACCTGAAGAAAGAAATTAAGAGAAAAAGAAAACACTGTGCATGGTTGAAAGCCTGCTTGTTCCTCAGCTCTCAGCTTCTCCACCTCCTTGAGGGACCATGAGAGCTTGATTGATTCCTCCAACTGCAGTTGAAGAGGTGGCCAAGGAAAATTGTAAATACCCCTTACTCCAGCTGGTGAGCAGTCATGGTTTGCACCTCATGAAGTTCAGGACTCTGACAAACAGAGGCTCCTTTGGTGTTTATGGCACAAACAGCTGTTTGAGAAAAGAAACATGTCTACGTGAGTCTGTCATAAAAGTCATACCTAAATTTTTGGGAATTTCTGGCAGTAGAATCCCTTCTGTTCCACAGCTGTCTGAGCTGGGCTGAGTGCAAACTTACAGCCCTCTATTCCATACAGATGTCCATAAATGTGATAGAGAAGGCAAAATTAATGCCAGGATAACTGAATTAACTTCAATTAAGCCACTTCTTATTTTCACCTGTGCACCCAGGAGAAAAATCAAGACCTAAACAATCTATCTTATCATGTCATGGCTTTGTAACACTGGAGAAGATTAATAAACAGCAAAGACAAAGCCTGTGAACAACTTCATGGATAAATGGTTACTTTCTGGGCTGGTTATAGTGGTGTAAGTCAAGAGAGGTAGCATTACCACTGGTGGCACATCTCCAGTGCTGATCTGACACACATTTTGTATTTTCTTCAAGGCAAGAATGAACAAAGAGTGGCTCAAACAAAGAGTGTTTGGCCAAACAGCAAATGAGCTCAGACATCCCTTCTCCATGCCCAGTTGCAGAGGATAACATTTCCTACAATTCCAGTTATTCACCCCTGTGCAGTAGGCTCCAAAATAGAATAGAATCACAGAATCATTAAGGCTGGAAAAGACCTCCGAGATCATCGAGTCCAACCTTTGATCAATCACCACCTTTTCAACTAAACCATAGCACTAAGTGCCACATCAGTCATTTCTTGGACACTTCCAGGGATAAATCTTGTAAGAGCCATTGAAACCTGTCAGTGGGTAGTTAACAGGTAGTTAACAACACGGGAGGACTTATTTTGCGTTTAACAATTAGCTATTAATCCACACATGTCTTGGGGAGAAATAGCAGCCTTTCTGCTACGTGAGCCATCTCACAGGGATTTTCGCAGCCCTTTGAAACATCTCTGTGCACGTTGGTGGGTGTTTAATTGTGCAGAGTGGGATGCACAGTGAGACACGTCTTCACTGAGCACAGGGTCATTTCTGAAGGGGCTGCCTTTTTTTAATCGTTCCCTGACCACAGGAGATGTTTAAGGGCTGTGAGAACTTCCTCTGCTACTTGTGTGCCTAGCAAGGACACACTTCTGTAATAACAACTGCAGGGGAGAATTGCCCCTGCCAACAGCCTTATCCCACCAGCAGTCCTTCCTCCTGCCCCACTGGGGCACTTTTTGGTAACTGATTTTGCTGCTTCATCCTCCAGAAAAGCCAAGGCAGTGTTTTACTGCAAAGCCCTGTGGGTGCACGGGTGCATGAGCAGAGCTGAAGGGGCTTTTATCTGATGGGAACTCAGAGTAGGATGGATAAAAAAGCTGCTCATCCACGTGTAGTTCGAGGCTTGTTAGGAAGGAGAGCAGTGAGAATCAGTAAAGAGAACAGAATGCACATGTCCATGCTCCCTGGAAATCCCCTGGCTGACAGGACAGCCTGCCTAGGGAAGAGTTAAAAGCAGAGCCCTGGAAAGTTTGGCCAGATGACTTCCTGATGGAGTTTATACAAGTATAGTGTGCGCAAGGACGTATGTGCCTACGTGCCACTTCTCCCGGAGCAGCCTGAGCCGAGCAGAGGGAGGAAAAAAATAATAAAAACATCACAGATGGGTCCAGGCTGAAAACAACCATCTGATGAATGTGCAGGGTCATCACGCTCCTCTCATTACAAACCTGCCAGACAAATCCATGTGATGCCTCCTCTGCTGCGTATCCCCCTTGCCACTGAACAAGAGGGCAGGGACAGGGGTGAGGCAGGGCAGGGAGGAGACAGAAGAGGACATTAGCAGGAGGAATTCACAGGATCCCAAAGCAGCTGCCACTCGTTCAGCTCTCAGGACATTCCCGGCAGCCAGGGAAATGATGCAGTCGTGTGCAGTCACTGGAATGCCAGGGCAGTGCAGGGGAGATGCAGAGCTGATGCCAGGGAGATTCCAGGGAGGCACTGGCACGGTGCCACGGTGATGTTTGCAGGCAGGAGGTGTGATGGAATGCAGCTCCATACCTACACACGTTTGTCTCACAAGACCTATCCTGGATAGAGATATCAGTGAAATACTAACACAAGCTTGTGGCATGGATTGTACAAACCTGGGCAGGACTTTGGTACACAAACTTTCCCCTGCCCCTGTGGTGTCTAAATGGAAAACCCTCAGGGTTACCTTAATACACTCACATGCATGTCCTGCTGTGGAGCTGTGACAGCCAGAGCTGCTAATCCTGAGGGGAATGGGCTTGCTTCGGTGCAGGAGCTGCTTAATTCCCACTGCTGTGTGCTGAGTGGGAGCTCTCTCTGGCCTCCCAAAAGAAAGGAGTGGGGACAAATCAAGGATTCTACAGAGCAGCCTGCTTGATCTTCTGTAGGCAGATCAGTAAGAAGGCAAACTGCGTATTATTCTCATTTAGCAGTAAATCAACCTTCCTCTCAATTACAGAGCACATTTGCCTCCTCCTGCTCCTTCAGAGAAGGGTGACAGGGCACCATGTAGGAAAGGATTAAGCAGCAGTCCCTTTAGGGTTGCTTAGTCAGTGAACCCGTGCTTCTCATTACATACCTCCAACCTGCTGTCATTTGATAATCTTGTGGAAGGGTTTGCAAGTTTGTGCTGCCTCAGAAATTTCTGCTTCTTCACTGCAGCTGCACTCAGAGGGGATTCTCTGAGCACAGTATGACCACAGCTAATTGCATCAGGAGGTCAGGAGGAAGGTCTGCTAAACTGCTCCTGGTACAAACCCCACCTGCATTCTCAGAGCCTAGCCAGGTTGCTTACAGAGCCATCATTAGCACTGAAAAGTAAAAAGCGGAAGATAGAATTTGCACAAGGTAGAGCAGCAATAAATTTTAAAAAAACAAGCAAGCTTTCTTCCCAATAGTTGAGCTGACTTTGGAAAGCAAGATATACAAATATTAGAAATTTGCCATATTTATAAAATGAGCATTTTATTAATTGATTTCTTTTAGGTCAAAATACTAACACTGAATACTATCATTTGACCACAGAGATTCCAAAAGTCATGTTATTTTGTTTAGCTGGTTCCTTTTTGTTTTATTTTTATTTAGTAAAAAAAACTTACCTTTGACTAGAGCAACAACAGATCCTAAACTCTTGAGTGCAGTTCTCTGGAAGGTAGTTTTGAATTTTGACTTGCTCTGTTGATTTCGTGGGTACTCCCATCTTTACATTTCTATCAAAGACCTCTGTCATTTCCATCTCATTTTTCTACTCCCCAAAGCAAAACAAACCTGTTGTGTGACAACAAACAAGTCAGATAAGGAAATTAAGAGGAATATATTTTACATTTTGCAGCCTTCCAGTATCCACAGGGAGCCTACAGATAAAGGGATGGTTTTGACACGGGCATGGGGGAATGGCTTCAAACTGAGACTATATTTAGATTCAATATTAGGAAGAAATTCTTTGCTGTGAGGGTAGTAAGGCACTGGGAAAGGTTGCCCTGGAAGTTGTGGATGCCCCATCCCTGGCAGTGCCCAAGACCAGGTGGGACGGGGCTTGGAACAGTCTGAGATAGTGGAAGGTGTCCCTGCCCATGGCAGGGGGTTGGAACTGGATGATCTTTAAAATCCATTCCAACCCAAACCATTCCGTTATTCTGTGATTCTTCTCTGCATTTTTGCACTGGTAGCAAGAAGCCTGCAAAGGATGAGGTCAGGGAGTGCAGTGGCAGTGGCAGAGTCAGAGCTTTATTTTCTACCTCTTTGCATTTCACCCTCCCTACAGATTAGCAGGGGCTCAAGCCTGCCTGAGTAGTATCAGGATGAAGCCAGATAGTGGAAAAGAAGTGATTTCATCTCAGCACAAGCATTTCACACTGGATTGTCTCCCACTTGAGCTGACGTGTTAAACAGAGCTGTTTACCAGCCTGTGGTAAACTCCATTTACCCTGGGTACACAGCCTGCATTGCTCTGCAGCCAGGAATGTCCCTGCTCCTGGGTGGTTGCCTGAACCCAACCTGAGAGCACAGAGCAGGGTTCAGACTCCCTACCTGAACAACAGACGTGTGATGCCAGCCACTACAGAAGTGCCCCTGTTTGGGTGGGAGGGAAGGCAGCATGAAACCATGTGGGGATTCATACCAGATTTATTCCAAAACCAAAGAATCAGACCCATCTTTCCTGAGAAACAAGTTCCCTTCTCAAAAAAAAGAAGAGTAATTTAAGGTCAAATACTTTCACTTTAAGCAACATTAAGTGAAGAATGGCAAAATTTGGTTGGCATCCTTTGTGGTTTACCAGCAGTGCCTGGATTTGGATCGGGGGAGGGCTGCAACGTCACAACACTGCCTAGCAGCTGAGTGACATCAGGTCACACTACGTGGGAGAATGCCACACAGAAAAGGTCATTCCCTGGGCTCCAACCCAGCCTGTCCTACTTGGAAAGAGGGTTCTGTACTGGGCATTGGTTTGTTCTGGAAAATGCCTTCTCAGGCTCAGCTTCTGTCATCTGAGCCCCTAACAGTGGCTGATGCCAGGCAGGGAAGTTCTGGGCATGCACAGGTACTTGGGAAAAACAGAGATGTCTAAAGGAAGTGGTCATTTCTTAGGAAGAGAAGAGGAACGAGTCACTCTGGGGCTGGCCAGCCAGTACAGGGTGTTTCACAAACACATGAACTGAAGTGGCCTGCTCAGAGTTGCCAAGAAATGAGCTCGACCCTCTTAGCACGGCCACAGTCTCTTGCAGGACAACTTCTCCCTCTTTTTCTTATTTTTGGAGTCTTTTCTGAGTTACTGCAAACTAAACACAGATCCTCAGGGGCTGGCAGATGCCATCACTGTCTAGCATTGCCCCCATGGATGTAACCTGCCATTTCTGTGTCCTCCCACCAGTACAAATTGCTGTGGTTACCTTGTAATAAAGCAGGTGCCAGCTCTCCATGAGACAGCTCCTTGTCCCTTGCCCATCCATGATCCCCTTTGCAGCAACAGCAGTGAAGCTGCTTTGTGCTCAGCCCCACAAAGTCCTGAGCAATGGTGCCAATATGGTCCCCAAAGTGTGGCAGTGAGGCATGTGCCAGCATTGCCAACCCAGAACAGTCTCACACAGCCTTCAAGTGAAAACCAACCTCCTTAACAGGAACTGTACTTGATTTTGCAGGAGATATCCAGGAGCCCTCTGGCACCCTGTTTTTAATAAAAACAGTTGTGATAGCAGCTTGGTATTCCTTGAAAACCTGCACAGGCACAACCACTAATGTATATGTTAATAGTCACTGGGAGCAGAGCTGGTGTTCCTGGTGGTGCTGCACTGTGCCTTGCTCTCCCTTCCACTGGTACCCAGAAGCATGTGTTTCCAGTCTCAGAGGGATTCTGCCCTGCCTAATTTTTTATTTTTGTGCAATCAGAGTCTTACTAAGGGATGGCATCCAAGCCAGGCTCTGGCTTATCTCCACTCAGTGAAATGCCTACCAGTCTGGCTGCCTGTAGACCTGACGGTCCCGCTGTTGTGGCAGGTTGAAAAGGGAAGCACATCCTAAATTCCTCTAGTTCTGGGGCATAACTGAGATTGTGTGGCCAGCAGTGTGGTCTGGTACATCCAAGGAGTGGTGTGGTTCAGTGCTTAAGATGTAACATTCAAAGCCTGGTTTAGGGCATGTTAAGGAAATGCAGCCACCAAACTTCTGCCACTGCCCATCTTTAAAAATGCCATGTGACTTGCTCCCCACACAAGGTGCAAGACAAGCATCTGCACCTGTTTGTGAGGCAGAGAGGGAGGGCACTTGGGCTTCTCACAAGGATGCATTTCTCACCCATTTGGCACCCATGAAAAGGGTGATGTCCTCTCAGGGTGCCAGGCTCAGTGACCAAGACATCAAGAAAACATATTGTCAAGTGCTGGGATCCTAAAATGAGCTATCAGCTCAATATAGGCAATGCAGTCTAGCACCTGCTTTCACACACAAGCACTTTCCATGTCCCCTTCCATCCCAGCAGAGCACCTTCATCCCAGCAGCCCAAATATGCCTGCCTTCCCTCCCCACACCGGCATTCAGTTTGGGATACTTGGCTCAAATCTTAGGCTGCTGGAGCTGGGCCGCAGGCAAATCCCACCTCTACTGAATTCTGTGGCAGTTTTACCTTTCATTTCAATGGGGGAGTTAATTTTGCCCTGTGTGGTGAAAATTTGTTTCTTGGCTGTGACCTTGCAGAACATCAGGCAGAGTCCACCTCCATTCTCATCCCCATCCTGCTCTGACAAGCAGGCATTCTCATACCTCAGTTTCCCCCTCTGCACCTAAAAGGAAACCCAAGCTGAAAATGCACCTTCTCCTTCCTTATGAAGTTCTTTGATACAGAGATCTAAAATACAACACAAGATCCAACAGTGACCTTCACTTTCCTTTACCGTGTCAGACCCATTTAGTGGCTATTTATGGCAATATGGTCATTAGCACTACAAGAACAAATTCAGCACAAAGTAAGCTTTAAACCACAGATTTGGGGTGTGCCAGGCTGTCAGAACACCATTGTACACTACTTTCCTCCTTGTCCTATCAAAAGACAAAAGCTGCATTTGATGATTGAAGACACAGAAACCAGAATAGCAACAGGAGCTCCTCCTGCAGAAAAGGGATTCCGCATTTCCTAAACCTCACATCCCTCCTTTCCTCCACACTACTTGGTCTCCTTGGAGCTCTCCACAAAGGGATCAGAGCAGGACTTCTCCCCCAGCTTTCTGTCCTCCTCTTGCAGCTCCTCAAGCCAGACCTGGGCTAAGCTACTCCAGCAGTGTCAGAAGAGCTTCTGATGTGCACATTTTTTGCTGCTTTGTTTTCAGAAAAACAAGTGATCAGGCAGATGAAGTGAGATGTGGACAGCCTCTTTGTCAGGCAGGGAGCTGCTGCCACATGCTGGCATCCCATTATGTACAAGTGAAAAGGTTTTTTCTTCTGTGTTTCTTCCCATGGAATATTTCAAGGGTGAAAACTCACTGGAAGAAGGTGAAGCATCTCCTCTTGAATTAGGAGAGATTTTTCATTTATGATTTCAGGTTCTCTCATAGCTCTCTTAACACCCATGGACCTTACTATTGCACATTTCCTTTTCTCTCTGGCTCTCTTCCTGCAGCAGAGCTGCTCAGTTCTGACCCTAGAGCCAGAGGAAGACCAGGTGCCTTTGCCTCACTGGAACTCACAGACAGTGACAACACCTGAGTTAACAGATCTTTCATGACTTTCCTTCTGAACTAAAATCAGGCTGGAATGGGATATTTATGTTCAGATGTGGATAACAGTGAGATTGTCTTACAGAGAAAAAGAACCTAAGAATCTTATTGTGAAAACATAACATCCTGATGGGCTTAGTTTTAATGAAAACAGTTGTGATAGCAGCTTGGTATGCCTTGAAAACCTGCACAGGCACCCACTAATATATGTATGAATAGTCACTACCTCCTTTCTTGCCTTTCATTCCATTTAAATTCAAAATGCCCATCTGGCCTATGATGCCAACAAATAGCAAAGCAACTTCAGTCTTGATCATCCTGGGGATGTACTCACAACTCTGTGTAAACACCTCTGTGTAAGGCACAGGTTTAGTGATATTTCCCAGCTTGAATATGATGGAAGTGGGCATCCATACCTTTCTCAAAGAGGCAGTATGTTGAGCAAGTGGATGCAGCAACAAGGGAAATATAAAACTGTAGAATAAGACCAGATCTTACAAACTGAGCACTTTATGAGGTGTCACATCTGTGGATGCTTGAAGGATGCTGTGCAGTCTCTTTTGCCCTCCATATTTCCTGTAACAAGAGGCTTAGAGATATTTTATGGTTGACATAGATAAGCTGTAATGAGGGGATTCATTCCTCCCAGAAATCTACCACACAATGACCGGGGAACACCTTACTGCCCGGGAGGTGAAACCGTGCTGGGAATCACGTAAATGCAAGGCAAGGCCATCCTGAGAAAGCTCTGTTTGTTTGTTGACTGTGGAGTTTAGCTGGAGATTAGATAAAGCTTAATTAATGCAGTGCAGTTATGCTTTTGAGGTTAAATTCTTAACACACAGATTAAAATTATTACTGAAAGTCATTGGCTGACTCCAGCAGAAGCCAAGGGAAGAGGGAACATTTTAACCACTGACTCAAAGGGACCTTTTTTTATAAAATAAACCATATTAATGAGTGGCTAGCAGCTCCATGCTCACAGTCTCCATTGCTTGGCAGACAGTATCACCCTGGGAAAAGCCCCAGAAGCAATCTCTCAAACATGCCCTTTTATGACCCCAGATATCTATTTTCTACATTCATTTGTAAATACCCTGCGACACGTAGTCAGAAAGAGATCAGATGCACCAACTCAATGATCTTAAAGGTCTTTTCCAACCTAAATGATTTTATAATTCTATGATTCTATATTGGAGCTGGCCTTTTATCATTGGGAAAATGCCAACTCTTTTACGTGAATGTTCACGGGATAGCTGTGGCTTTGCAAACATCTTACTAGAAATCTTCAGGGTCACAGTCATCTATAAATAAGTATCAGCAGCAGCCTCATTCTTACCAAAAAACTTACCAAAACCTCTGTATCTTCAGCAGAATCTGGTCAAACAAGTTAATGCAGCACAATTACTGCTTCTTACCTTTCACACTATTTACAATCACAGTGACATCCTCTGGGTGACAGTAAATAATTCCCCTTCCTATTCTACAGATCAAATTAATTCCCAATAAACCCAGAACCCAATTCTTTCCCAACCCTTTATAGGAGCCAAATTCATGCCTGCTTATACCACTACAGCTGCCAAAACCTTTGGAGGTTAAGTGGCAGCCAAATGGACAAGAAATGGACTGAAACAGGGATGGCTGAGGACAAGAATGATTCTCAGCAGGAGGGGTGACCACCTCAAGAGCCTCAAAACACTTCTAGAAATAGGACTAAATAACAAAGGGTACCCTGAAGTCTGAAAACACCTCAAGTTCATGAAGCAAAGTAGCAACATGAGGGAGAAGAAGGGAGGTGGAATAACTGCAGGCAGAAGCAGTTTGTTGAGCCCTTTCCCAACTGAAAGCAAAGCCCAGAACCCAGGGCTGAGGACAGCGAGGCAAAAGGAAGCAGAAAGGAGGTGAGCAAGAGGAGAGGCTGTGCCAGCTGATGTCCAGACCTATGGCCACAACGTCAATGGGAGCAAGGCCAAAATGACATTGAATCTGCAGAAGCATCATCAAAATAGCATCCCCCGACAGAAACGCCACGAGTCTGAGGGTCAGCTCCAGGCCAGCTCCTGCAGCCGAGTCAGGCGCTTCCCAGGGGACGTGTTCCAGCTCACCCAGCTGACCTAACTTTGGCTCTGTCCCCGGCTATCGCGCCCAGCGCTGTGTCCAACCATCCAGCGGGGCTGCAGCGCCTTTCAGTGGGACAAGGGGATCACTGGGAGAGCAGATCTGGTGCAGTGGGAGCCAGGAGCCGTGAGGAGGTAACTGAGAAACTGCCCCTCTTCTAACCTGGCTGCATTTGTAGAAGAGGAGCTGAGTGTGTCCCTCCAGGCAGTGGGGATGGGTATCCCAAGGAGAAAAAGTGTCAGGGAAGAGGAAGGCATTCCAAACAGCCCAAGGAGTCTGTCCATGCTGCCTGTGGAGCTGGCCAAGGGAGCAGAAATGGTGGATGGAAAGATAAAATGATCAGTTTAAATATTTGTTTTACATGTGGAAGAGACGATAAGGAAGGGGAGATAAGTTGCAGCATGCTACGATTGCAAATAGTAATTTTCGTTTTCCTCTGGGACACGCACATTGCCCCCTTCTGCATGTTTTCCTATGGAAACAAAGAACTTTTCACATTCCCCCTGACTTTAATAACTTTTGAACCTATTATCTAATTTTGACTGAATTTATTAGGAGGCAATGATATCAAAGATATCATCCCTGTAAGAGTTTGTCAGGCCAGGCAAAGAAGAGAATTTTTCCTATTTGAGAGACCAATATAACCTCACCATTTTCTAAGCAACAGAGAATCCATGGATGCACAAGCCTCTGAAGGGATGAGGAAGAAAAAGGGCAAGAGAGGTGTCCAAGCACCAGAGGACAGGTGGCCAACTGGCCAAGCTCTCTTGATTGAGGCCAATTAAGCACTAAACACAGTACGGAGCTGGTAATTCTTTGGAAGATATTCTACTTGAAATGGCAAAAAACAAGGTCCCTTTTCCTTGCAGGTGCACCACAGATTTCAATACCAGGGCAAATACGTGAATGAAAATGTCTTTGATATCCTTCCTTCTCACTCCTTCCCTTTCTCCCTGGGGACAGGGCCCTCTCCTGCCTCCAAAGCACAAGTGACTGGGAGGCCATTTGGCAGGGCTGCTCTCCTGCTTTTTGGCTGTACACAGGCACTGCTAAAAACCAACCCACATAAACCACCGGGACAGGAATGGAAAGCATAGCAGAATGATCATACTCCTGGTAGGAGGCCAAATGCTAACAGTGCAGAAGCCTGTATGGGTTTGTTAACCTATTAAAATAACATAATTCTTGCCCCACCAGCACATTCATATGTGGCTTCTGCCACAACAGGTCAGTAAAGATTTATTTACCAGGCCTGCAGCACGAAATGCTGTCTGGACCCTGCTGGGAATCTGCAGAAAAATGCAGTAAACAGCAACAAACACTTTGGTGCTTCTCCTTTTGCTGAAAGCAAAGCCTCCAATGGTGGCTATAAATCTTTTGCTGCCACTTGCAGAGGGTATTTACTAATTACAGCATCAGCACGTCTTGTGCCAGTTGTAGGTCATCGGGATAGCCTAGAAAAGGAACAGAAATAGTTTTGCAACGAAGGCAGGCTTGAAGAACGAATGTCTCAGCACTGATCTCTCCACTGCTCTGGCAGCAGCACTAGGAAACTAAGGATCACAATGCAGAGAACAAGGATGTTAATTCTGCCTAAATAACAGACCGCATTTCCTCTACCCGGCTGTTCTGAGGAGCTAATTACACACATTCCCGAATCAAAGAAGTATAAAACAGTCTGCAAATGATTGCAATGTTGATGTGTTGGCAGTCCAAACCATGACATATGGTCCTTCAGTTTGCCATCCTAGAGAACAAGCTCACGAGCAACCCTCGTAAGGCAAAATTACAGAAAGAGGCTGACTCTAGAAATGAGCTTGAGGTGGCCTCCCTCCTTAGCCCCACAGTCAGTGTTTCACAGAGCCACTGCCAACCTGGTCATAGGTCCCCAAATGTACCTCCCTTGAGGGGGAAGGAAGGTGAATCATATCCAGGCAGGATCCTGGCTCAGTCAATACCCACACACAAACTTTGCAAAGCCAAGATTTCGGCACCAACTCCAGCTGGACATGCGTGTGCCACCAGCCCTGCTCTGGGACCGCTCCGCAGCGTGTGCCAGCCTCTGAGCCACTCAGCAGCAGGATCCAGACCTTCAGGTTCATCACTGGACCCCCATCACGGACCTGGGGGAGTGAGGGATACCTGCACACCCCAGGAGGGCAGAGGGGTGAGACACGAGCACGCCGAGGGCGTCCACACACAGCCTTCCCCCACAGCAGTCGGTGCGCGTTCGTTGCTCCGGGCCCAGCCAAGGAGGTGAGCATTGCCCCCGCTGCCACAGGGCTTGGGCCGTTCCCAAAGGGAGACCCTCCTCTCTCTTCCTCCTCCTTCATGCTGCCCTTGTGTCAGAGAGTGGCAAGATTGATGTCTCGAGATGTTTTGGGATGCAGGTGTGTGGGGCAGGGCAGGTGGGGCCTTGCCCCGGCGGGGCAGTGCCCTGCTCCTCACAGCCCACCCCTCTGGAGCCGGTGTCCCAGCCCTGCAGCGGTGCCAGCCACTGGCAATGCTCCACACCCACCCCTGGAGCCCCTGACCCAGCTCCTGAGTGGCAAAGTGACCAGAAGTCCCACCTGGGAGAAGGGCTCAGGAAGGCCAAGGGATATTTAAGGCCATCATGTTTATCCAGACCCTACCTCTCCTCTAACATCGCTGGAACTCAGGAGCTGGTAGCTATATGTGTGCTTTTCCATATCTTTTCTGTCTCTCTCTCTTTCTCCTTCCTCTTCTAATTCCCTCTGCTTGGAATATTTTGAGTAACTTAACGTCAAGTGGGTTTAAATTTTGCTAAGTTGAATGGGCCAAGTTAATGCTGTGAGAAGTGTTTTATGTTGACTGAATGTTGTACCAAACCTTTTGCCAAACTTTTGCCAATTTTCTGAATTTTGTCAGTAAAGTCTTTAAGTGTTGTTTTGACCCCTTAAGTATATCTCATTGGTATTTCTCCTGTGCATCCAACTCAGAGCACATGAACGGCTGTTTTCCCTTTTTAAAAGGCTCATCAAGGTGGTTGATTGGGGCCTTACACCTTGCCTGAGCATTTCCTCTTCCTCCATTCCAGCAGTGCCTCACTTCCTACTTTTGCAACCTGACCCAGTGTCACCATCCCCACCTCCCCACCTCGGGTCCTGCTCAGCTCCCCAGGTCACTCTCTATCCCCCAAGGACACCCAGTCCAGCAGAACCCCTGAGGACCAGACCATTGCTCCTCTCTGGCAAGCAGAGAAGTGATTTTCACTGTGCAAAGGTTAAGGACAGAGCTGATTTATTTTCTCCTTGCCCTCAGGGATACAAAGTTCAGCTGCACAGAACAGCATCCCTGCATTGAGCAGCTCAGAGCACTGAGATCAAGATTTTGGCCCAGAAGAGAGGTAACCCTGGCTCCCCTGCCTGCATCCTCAATCCACTCTCCTCCTGCCCCATCAGGACTGCAGGGCAGGAGGAGCAGGCAGGGAGGAGTTTGACCTCCCCTCCTCCTCCCTTAAGGTCCTTGTTTTGAGCTTGTAGCTCAGAATGGATAATTTTTATGTGCTCAGAATCTGCTGTGGACACCGTGGACTTCATTAATCCAAAAAAGGCTAAATGGGCACAGTACCTTTGCACTTGCCTGCCTTACTTCACACTGAAATCCCAAATTCTGGTGTGCTGACGGGCTGCTGGTTGCTTTGCTCTCATCCTGCCCGTGTTTGGCCTTCAAATGGGCAAATGTAACTCTGGTAACAGAGCAGAGGAAAGCTCATAGAGGCCACAGGAGCATTGTGCCTCTTCAGAAGGAGACAGCAGATAAACAGGATTAAGGAATTTTGCATAGTTCAACCTGCCAGGTCCTGTGAAGAGGAAATGTAGGGAAAGCATGCAGCCCTGATTCAGAGGAAAAGCCTTTGAAATGCTTGCCAGGCAAAATGTGTTAAGATACAAGCTGCTTTTCCTCTGTAGCAGGGTGCAGTGCAGGGAACAGCTCTGTGGAGCCCACCCCACGCCAGGCACAGTCTGTGGTGCTTAGACAGATTTCAAGAGCCCTGGGAGCCAAGCAAAGCAGTTCTGATTCTGAGTCACAGCCTGGTGCTGGTGCTGGAATTCAAACAGGGAGATCCCCTGCAAGATGTTCTGTTCTGGACCAGACTGAAAAATTTTACCAAGAATTGGTTTCCCGGGAAGACCTTAATTTTTTTCACCTCTTTTTTCTATTGTTGTTGAAAAGTGCTGAAAACTAAAACATTTAGAATGGGGCTGGTTGTATTTGGGGTTTTCTTTAGGGAAAGGGGCTGGATCTGGGATTATATCTAGAGAAAGTGTTTGGATTTTCCAGTTTCCTTGAGGTGAAACTGGCTTGTTCTGACACCTGGTCTCAGGGCAGCAGGTGTATCCTGCAGTTGTTTGGGCTATGCCCTGTGGGAATGCAGTATTAGAGACTCTGCCCTCAGCAGTCTTGTCCCCCAGGAGGAGAGGATATGCCTGTAACTCACCACTGCTCCGGGACAAGAGAAGCTGCCAGTGTCCCTCCCCAAAACCAGAGGCCTTCATATCCTCTCCTCACTCCTGGCCACGGCACCAAAGGATGAACACTGATTCTTGTGAGCTCTCTGTAAGCCAGCATACAGTGAAGCCTGAGAGGGCTCTGCTTATCAAACCCAAGGGAAAGATATTGGGAGAAAGGACAGGAACACTGCAAAATGAAGTTCCTGCTGTGTGATCATCTCTGTGGAGTGCCATCCCAGCCTACATGGCATCACTGGGCTGCCATGTTCTTTAGCATTAGTGGCTCTGCCTTTTTGCCCCTCAGGTTTGGCTGGGGATGCAGCACAGAGCCAGGTTTGGCCATTTGAGTGAAGTTGGAGAAAGGAGGCAGAAGAAAATCAAGGCAGAAACCAGCACAGCCTAAGCATTCCCTGTGGCACAGGGACAAGAGCAGCATCCATCATCCCACTGGGGTGGGACTGAGGCAACCGGTGCAAGATGGGTGGTCCAAGATTTTGGACATTTCCTGAGTGCCCAGGGTGCTCATAGAGAGTCTGGCTGTCTCTACAAGCAAGGGGAGTGAGGCAGCCCTCGGGCAGCTGCCAGAGATGGAAAGTGAGGTGGGTGATCCTCAATGGGAACTCCAGGTTGGGTAACCCAGTCCCATCTTCACAAGAAAGTATTTTATTTCTAAACAGCTCCATCTAAAATAAAGAAAAACCTAAGCTTTTAATATTTAAATTTTTTTTCTTTTTTTTTTTATTTTTAGGATTTGTTCAATTATTTATTTGCAGATAATAATGCAAAAAAGGTTCTTTAGAGTTGGTCTGGACAATGTTCTGTTAAAACTCCCACACAAAGGGCACCTACCACTAGTGAATTATAAGGAATTGAGTGAGGAGTCAGGTCTGGTTTCCCTGCATCTGCTCGGAATTTTCTCTCTTTCACATCATATCATACTTGTTCTACCCCTCAGGGCACTCCTGTCCTTGGATGAGGATTTAGTGTGGCTGTTAAATCCTGTTTGAATGGACTTCCAGACAGCCCAGACAGCTGAAAGCTTGGCTGCACAGAATGCAGGACAGGACTGTTGGGATGGGGAGCAGGCGCGGGGAGAAGCTGCTTCTCCAGATGAGGTCTGAGCTGTGCTGTGCAGGTTTCCAGAGCAGCTCACCCCTCCCCTGCTCTGCTGGGCTCGGGGGGCTGTGGGAAATCTGCTTTGCTGGTCCATTCCACAGAGCTCTGTGTCCAGCTTCACTGTCCTGCCACTCCAGACCTGCTGGCTCTGAGGAGCCTGCAAGAGCAATGCCAAGTGGGCAAGAGAAGATGTAAGCATGGAAGATTTGTCAAAGAAAACTTTTTAAAAATATCATATATCCCACAGCAGTCCAAAGTAATAGCTCAGCTGCTGAAAAGGTGGAATTAAATAGGTCAGGCTGTAGAGCTGTGCTGCTCTCTGCCAGCTAAAGGAACTAACTTCTCATCTGTTAGACTTTTCATCTTTTGCTGTTCCAAGAATCCATCTTTCTGCTAGTAATGATGTCAAATAAATCTTCACTAAAATGTAAAAATGTTTATGATTATACTTACTGACCCGTTCCTTTATTAAATGAGGACAATGGGATGATGCCTTGATATTTACTAATGGGTTACTCCCATCTAACCTTTTCTTGTTCATCCAGATCATCTGTTTTCATTTTACCATTCAATGGCTGCCAATAAAATTAAGTCAATTAAATTAAAGGTCTATTATGTTCTTTCAAATCAGGCTGAGGCCTTTTTTCTTTCCCCAGTCAATGCTCTGAGAAGATTTTTGATAGGGCAGCTGGGAAATCTGGAGCAGATTCTCCTCTGCTGGAAATTAGTTTAGCTTTTCAGAAATCAATAGAGAGGCATCAGCTTACCCCAGCTGAGGGCCGGAGCCCTGATGTGTGGGAATAAGCCTCAAGCCTGTCTTTGGGCCAAGATTTAGGTCTGGAATCACTCCCTCATGCAATCTCAAAGACCTTGTCTACTTATCCAAGTGTTAGAAGTTACTTATAACATATATGGTGCATTTACACCATCATCTCTTCCCCATGGAAATATCCCTAGCCCAGTATAAAAATGACCTTTTATATTTTACTTTAAATGTGAGCTATTGCCAAGAGGCATAAGTGAAATTGAAAAGAGTCTAATGTCACATCGTAGGGTCTGCATGAAGCTGTATGCTTTGGTTTTCTGATTTAGTTTCTTGTAAATTTTCCAGCATAAACAAGACCTTAACATCTTATTAAGTGATTATTAAAATAAAACCAAGGAAGAATGTTCTACATCCTAACAAAAGCCTGCAGATATTTTACACAAAATTCTTACAGGGCTAGTGAAAATGTCAAGAATAAACCTAACCAAGGCACCACCACCTTGCTCAAGTGACAATCCTGAATACTTTTTTCAACTTCTAAGTGGTGAGCCTTCCTTAATGCTCTGAATGCCTTGTAAGAAGTCATCTGTAAACTCTTAGCTCATCATCTCAGTGCTGCTATTGTATTTGAAGCCCCAGCCCTCTGTTAGCAATCATCTCAAAGGGCTGGTGCACAAGTAGAAAGTGTTTTGTCTTCTTGCAGACTTGGTTGCAAAGTTAGCACAATCCCCACCAAGCCTAGGCAAACTCTGCTGTGAAAGGAAGGCAAATAAAGACCTGCAAGAGCTCCTTCACAGAGGCTGAGAAAAGAGACAATGTTTACCAAAAACCATAAAGCAAACTCAGGAATTAAGGCTGAACAGCTTTGTGTGTGTTTCCAAGTGAGAGACTTTGTAAGCAAGGCTTTATTTAACTCTCTGCTGTCACAAATTCAAACAGTGAAATGGCTCCTAACCCTAATTAACTCGAAATGTTTGACATCTTAGGAAAGCCTTGAAGCACAGAAGGGCTTCCTATCAGCCAAACCTACAGTGCAGACCAAAAGTTTCCCTATTCAAACGTCAGTTTTTCAATTTGCATCAGGCATCATATAAACTACAAGCAACCTCACACAAGAGCCAGCAACCTTTTTGGCTCCTAGAGTGCATTTTTCTAGGATAAAAGCTTTAAAGTGATCTACATAACTGCAAGCAGAAAATCCCAACTTCTTCTCAGACCCAAGGGGTGTGAAAATGGGTACAAGTGGTTTGGTCATACAGTGAATAGGTAAAGCAGAAATGTCCCTTGCATGGTGTTGCAAGAGGGGTAGGAAAAGAGAACAAGGTCAGACCTTCCTCTGTGCTGATGTCTCTGCCACTGGGCAGAGGATGGATCAGAGAGAACCCAAAATTTCTACTACTACTCAGGCTAGTGACTGCCTAAGGATAGAAAGCTTAACCCACTCTTTCCTCAAAGGATCTTGTCTTTCATTTGTGCAGTTCCAACTCTAAATGGCCTCTGAAATGATGCAAACAAGATCTGGTTGCTCATTGCCTGTTAATGACCCTGCTGCTGTGCAGCCCCATCAGCTCTGTGTAGAGCTCATTTCTGCTGAACAATCACAGTTCAGTGGCTGGAAACCCAGAGATCATCAATTTCAAGAACTGCAAAGGTGAGCTTCCTCCTGGTACATCCAAAACTCCTGCAATTGTCAAATTAGTGGAGTTGTGTTGGGGTAAAAGTGATGCAAATGAGGAGAACACTTACTTGGCAATTTATGTGCTGTATCAGGAAAACGTTATCACCCCTGACATATCAGGGAGATTCTGTGTTTACTGACACCTTTGCAACACAACAGTGATTTTGATGAAATCCTTGGATAATGATTACATCAGGGGAGTTACACCACTGAAAAAAAAATTACAGAGTTTTCCATCTGTGCTGTATATTAGCACAGATGCAGTGCTGATGACTTCCTTGGGGTTATCCCTGTGTAGAAGAGAAGCAGGAGAGCTCAGATTTCTGTGTTTCATCAGCTGAATCTGGGAGCCACAGCCAGGAGAGCTTGGTGCTGGTGGGAGAGAAAGGGATGCTTACACCTGATGTGCTCACAGGAGCAGGGTTTGACCAACAGTAGCAGCAGGAAAATGAATTCTCCATCTCTAGACGTGCATCACTGACAATGGTGGGTTTTAACAGGAAGGAGAAGAATAAAAGCAAGAATAAACACTCCGAACAAGATAATCTGAGTTTGTATACAACAACCTTTGCAATACAACTGCTTTTTCCTTAAAGAAAGATCTTTCTTTAAATCTTTAGATCAAGGTGCCCCCATGAAAACTAGTGCTCCTTTTGACCAAAACTGAAGTGTTGCTGTGATAAGGACTAGCCTTATCAGCCTGGGGGCTGTGGAAGAAAGTGCACCAGGCTCAGGGTAGGGGAGTGTAGTGGAAGGGTTTGCAAACATCTGGGACATCTGGGCTGCTGAGTCACATGTGCAGAGAGAGCCTGTGCTGCAGGCAATGGCCAGATGGCAAAAGAACACAAGAAAAGCTGTGTCCCATGTGCCTCTCAAACAGGACATGACATTTGAGAGCAGTACAGGCAATCTGTATTGAAAGGGTGGCTGAGGGGCTTAGCCCTGACTGATTGGGAAGGGGTATCCATTGCCAGAAACAGCAGAGGAGTGTGATTCCCATGCAGGATGAGGCACAAGCAGCGGATCCCACCCACGGCACCAGGGCACTCTGGGGGGACCTGTCCACCCCCAGGCAGCACCCCACGTTTGCTGAGGAAAGATCCTGCATGGATCTGGTATCCCTGGTCTCTCCACTGGGCTCTCTTCATGTCAGAGCTGCCAAGGAGGTCAGAGCTGTGCCTTGTCTGCTCTCCCCAGGCTCAGTCAAGGCCTTGCTGCGTCTGGCTCCAGCACCTCTGTACGGGGAAGACAGAACACTCCCTGCAAGCTTTTCCCCTGGAAGAGCAGAAAACCACAAGCAGCTCTCAGCAGGAAAGAAAATGGTAAGAAAAGAGAGTGATGAGATAATGTGGATGGTAATGTGCAGCAGTGAGAGAGAGGAGCAGTAGTTTGTTAGTCTGATTTATTGAGCAGGGATTATTTGCAATATCCATGGTGGAGTGATGGAGCCCTCATGGGGCTGATGAGCCCAGTTCTGACAGCCTGGGAGTTCCTGTGTCATTGCTCCTGACTTTCCTTCCCTGCCTGCTAGACTGGACTCCTGGAGTGCTTTTCTTTCCCCTCCTCTTGTTTGCTGGTGGAAAGTGGAATTTCATTGCATGAATGTAAGAGCAAAAGCCACGAGAACAAAAAGCAAATATTGCAAGACTGACAAAATCACTAGAGCTGGCAGCACCGCCTGGATTTGTCTGTTCAGTATTCATTCTAGAATAATTAGAAGAGACTTAACCAGCCCGCTGGCATAGACAGGGACACACGGTGCCTTGCAAAAGTCAGGGCAGAGAATAAAATGAAAAAGTAGTGCAGCCCAGCTCACTGCAGACACAGAATTTCAGTATGAGAGACTTGTGGATCCAGTCTCTCTCTGTGAATGCCCATGTTCCCTGCTGCGTTCCCACATCCCTGCAAATTTCAGCACAAACAGGTACTTCTTGAGCCTTCTACCAAACTGTAGGGTAAACAAAGGCCATATGACAAGAGCCTGGATTAAGAAAAAGAGCTGATTAACTCCAGGCATTTGCCAAGTCAATGTGTCTAGACTGTATCCAGTCAATGCTGCAGACCAGCTTTGATTCCCACTGCTTCTGGCATTCCAGTGGTGAGAAGCACTTTGTGGTGTAAACTTGTCCTTACTTCACTCACAGTTCTCTGTAGCTCTCCTGGGACTTGTTTAATATAACATGATCATCCCAGTGTCACCACAGTAAGGACCAGTGAGCCACATCCTGTGTTCCTCAGGCACTTGGTACTTTCAGGGCAACAGGAACACCCACTCCAAAGCTGACAACTCAAACACAATGTTACAGATGCCCTTTCAGACAAATATCACAGTTAGACTTTGAGTCTTCTCTCAGGTCCAAAACTTCACAGCCAGTCCTCCATGGTTTCAAGGAGAACAACATTTTGCATTTTCCCTCTAGGCAGCAATTTATTAAAAATGCCAAGACAAGCAACTTTCCAGGGAATCCCGTTTCTGCCTGCTGGAGGACAGCTGTGTTAACCAGCCACCAGTCAGACCAAGCCCAATATTCTGCAGCTTCCTCCTGGCTCTCCTCTTTCTCTCCAGTCTGGGTTACAAAGCATGAGAAGAGGCTTTACTGATGGAAAACTGTAGGAAACAAGGTATTCTCAAACACAGTGGTTATGGTAATATTATATCCTTGCAGGGCAGAAACAAGGCAGTTTCTTCTAACAAAGAACCAGTAGCAACAGCATCACCAACCCTGGGAAAGCAGAGTGAGACCCATCTGACAGAGCTGGGTGAAACACTCCATCAACCAAGACAACCTCAACAAGGTGATGGGTAAACAGGACAGCTTTTTCTCTCTCTGTAAATACACACACTCTGTATGTGCAGATGCACGTGTGCCATTATGTGTATTCAGGTAGAAGCATTATTCAGAGAGAGGTTAATTCCAAGCTGATGATGCCCATTAGTGCAAGACATAACCAGCAATTTGGAAGCATCCAGAAGTGTTTCCATCTGTGAGTATAGAGCAGCTGAATTGTAGAGGCAGCAATGGCTCTCCCTCAGGGATCCTCAGCAGGCAGGCTGGTGCCTCTACTTCCCCACATACCTTTCATCACAAGTCAGAGTTAGGCTGCAAGGAGGATTTGCTGCCTTAT